CTGTACTCTCATCTCTGTAAAAATAGTTGTAATAACTAACCCGATATAAAGTCAATAAAGTATCACCACAAGTATAGTCTTAGAAAAAAAAAAAAAAAAAAAAAACTATTCAGAAATTAATAATTATATTTTTTTAAATTAATATAATATCTATTTTTGTATATCTAATTTAAATAAAATAGTAATCAAAATTAGGCAGTACTTTTTGCAAAAAGATTTGCTCAATTTTAATTGCTATTTTATTTGAATTAGATGTACAAAAATTGATATTAAATATTAATAATAATAAACAGTAGTTCTTACTTTTATTATGTTCTTTTCTATTCAACTCTATTAGTTCAAAAATAAACTTTTAGTATATTCAATAAATTAAATATCAAACTAATTCTCTATATATAATTACTAATACTTAAATTTAGATAAGCTTTGACTATTTCAGTTAGTTTAGATTACAAATAAATTAGTTTGAGTTTCTATTATTTATATAATATTTTAAAACTAGAATTATAATCTATATAAAATCTTAATTAAATATTCAATAAAGATAAAAGCATAACCTTATTATTAATATTAAAAAAATAATAATAAATAGTAATAATCTGTATAACTTATTATTTTGATCTATTTACCAAGTAAACTTTATATATAAAGTACAATTTAACTTTTACTTTTTATTATAACTTAGCTTTTTTCTATTGAATTTTTAAAAGAATAATTTTGAAAATATTTTATATACAATAACTTCTATATAATATAAATCACCAAACTGTACTAAAGTACATTGAAATTTGCTTAGATTGAAGATCTTGACATTTAGCTACTAGTTAATCTGAGCATAAAGTTGTATTATGTAGGATTAACTAGATTGGCAATATAAAAAAACTTATAAAGATAGACAAGATATCAGTAAGGTTGTAAAAAAAAAGTACTGGAATTGTATAAACTTTAAAAGGTCATAAATTAAGTTAACTATAAATTGGAATATGGAAAGCTCTAGTAATAATGTCTTAAAAATGAATCATATGAAATAAAATGAATGTTCAAAGAATATGAATAAGTATCTAGATCTTATTGACTAAAATCAGTATCAGAAATGATCTAGTGATATAGTTGAATTGCAATACAAAGAGTTTAAATATAAAATACCCATAGTTGGGTTGCAGGTATAACAGTTAGTATAGAACCTATATATAGGCAGACTACTTAAATTAGATACCAAAAATGTATATGTGACTAAATGTACTCTCTAATGTAAGGTAACTCCTCTGAGGTAATCGAGCCATAAGCTCCTATGTCCTACATACTAAATAAAAAAACCCTAGTCCCAGAAAGACTAGTTTAACTTAAAAAAAATTTTTATATTAAAATTTTATGTTTATTAATTATAACGATGTTTAATTGTTATAATAGATTAAAATAAGATTTGTAAAAATTCTTAAATGATAACTCTATTATTTAATAATTGTAAAGTTTTGTTCATTCAGTTCAAAAAAGATAATTCATGGCAAAAAGTTGGTTAATCAGAATATTAAACTCTTCGAATATTTTTTATTGTTTAAAATTTTTATAAATTCAATAATAAATAATTTTTGGATCAAATTTATATATCACTATATTTTAATGCGTATTTATATAAAAATTCATTAAATTAAGTAAAAACCTAATTTAGAAAAAGAATAAACTCAATGTAGCGAATTGCTTATGGTGCACCATTAGGTGCACCAAACAATAATATTATTGGTGCACCGTACGTAAAAATTATCGGTATGCACCACCGACTCTACATGTGGGGATGTTAAAAGTTCGATCCGAACTTTAATAACAACTCGACTCTCTGGAGTCGAGTCTGACCGGTCCGAACTATTAACATCCTAGCGTCATGGCCTGTAATATTTATCGTTATATAAATCGAGCGCTATATAACTTATTCACGTAATTCAAATGCGTGACAAAAACTTTATTTAAAATAAGTTATAAGAAAATCTATTATATAGACTACATACAATTTATTAATATAAAATGACAAAGTAGAAAAAAAAAGTGAAAATTGAAAACGATAAAGGAATTTTATTCGGCGCACGTGCAATACCGTTAAAGAAAAGAACTAATAAAACCTTGGACGTTAATTTTTGGCATCACGACGACTTGGACCCGGTGGACCTTGTGGACCACTGTCTGCTGTAGCAGCCGGACCAGGTGGGCCACTATCTTCCGTAGCAGCCGGTGGTCCATTATCTTGAGTAGGAGACGGTCTACGAGTACGACGAGGACGCCGTGATCTGGGTGGACTTGTAGTAGTCGGACCTTGTCCAGGTGGACCATTATCCTGACCTTGTCGTCCAGGTGGGGCTGTAGGAGACGGACCTAGTGGGCTATCTGATTGAGGACCCTGGCCCGGTGGACCATTATCTGATTGAGGACCCTGACCTTGTGGCCCAGGTGGGCCATTATCTGTTGTGGGAGATGGATCCGATGGGCTATCTGTCAAACGGGGTGGTTCGGGTGGGCCATCTGATTGAGGACCTTGACTTTGTGGTTCATTATCTGATTGAGGACCCTGATCTTGTGGTCCAGGTGGGCCAGTATCTGTAGGACTCGGACCTGGTGGGGCAATTTCTTGTGGACTACTTTCATCAATAGACGAATCTGGTGAGCTACTGTCATCGGTAGTAGACGGACCTGGTGGGCCAGTGGGAGCAGGTGGGCCCACATCTTGTGTATTCTCCTGACCTTGAACGAAAACTGCAAAGATCTGTAATTTAAGACAAAGAAGAATAAAAGGTCATTTTATGTCCTCCAAGACTTAAAATAAGATATGAATGATATGTTACCTGCAGAATCGCTAATAAAGCGATCCAATAATAATGGTAAACTATCATTTGTATATGATATCTACCCTTTTTTTTTTCTTTTTAAATTTTAAATTTCAAATTTCAAAAAAGACAAAATTTATCGTTATCTTCGCAGCTTTGAAAGAAAGTGGAAAACTTCGTCTATTTATTGAGCCAAAATTTTACGCTCATTGAATCGAGGTTACTATTAAGGATCATCAGTTAATATTTCCCAAGTATCTAAAAGATTATTGATCGACCATGTTCAAAAGTAAATAAAGTAAATGACTTACGTCAGAACTTTGCCACTCTGTTGATCCGATCGTAGGCATCATAACACAATTATAAACTTTTACAATATGCAATTAATAATAAAAAATAAGAAAAATCACAGCCATATTGAACCAAGCCACTTGTTATACAGATTGTTTGACGGAAGGATAACTTTATAAGTTTATCATATCGATATTGTGCTAATGCGTTTATTATCATGCACTCCAAACATTTAAATTTTTGAAAAGCCTCAAAAAATCTTGGCAGCATCTTGTTATGTTAATCACTCGGGTACAAGCCGTCTTTAACAATTTCATGGGAAACCACATATTAAAAAGAGAAAACATTCCATGAGGATACTCGTAATAAGCTTAGTATTACTTTATTATGTCTCAAAGCCATTATTTTAGCCTCCATTTCTAAGCCAATATAAGAACTTATGAGGAAAAGTTCCCTTGCCGTGAACAGCACCAGGGCATAGGATCGATTTTCCGTTCACGCGATTCCAGAGATCAATTGGCCAATTAACAATCAGTATCTGGTGTAACGCAAAATTTTCAAAATAAACGTTCTTTTGCAAAAATCGCGTTTATCTCAAAAAAATTCCTCGTGTAATTTTACCTAACATATGGGGGTGAGTCAGTAGAAACGCACCAAATTTTTTCTAAGTAAATTTTTTTGAAATTTTAAACAAAGAGAGTTCAACAAGGACTTAACCAAATTTAATAAAATGTTTTTTAAATTAATTCTACAAATTACTAGACTTTATTTAAAGAAAAAATTTATTAATTTTTATTAAATTTTTGTTGAGTTATTTTTTGTTCAAAGGGTTAAAAATATTTCACTAAAAAAAATTTGGTGCGTTTCTACTATGAGCCTTTTTGTTCGAAGACTGTTGTCCTCGGAAAGTCATCTGACCGGAAATCGATCCTGTCAATTTTCCTTGCCGTGCGACATAGTACGGCATGTTTCTCTTGTTATTATCCGAATGTGAAAATTAAGTACGTTGAGTTCCAATCAAGTTCTAATTATAATCTTTTAGCATTGTGATATTTTGATTTAACGAGCGTAACATGCATCAATATCAGATATTAAATTTTAAAATACTAGACCATTGAAAATGTGACCGTTTGTTTTTGAAGACGTAAAAAACTGCTCGCGTTATCTGCTTCGATGTTCAAAATATAGGCATTGAAGTGATTCTTAGCAATCTTACTGAGGGTCCATGATACAAAATGTGGATATTATATTTTAGCCCAATCAGAGTAACCATATAAAAAAGGACAATCCGTCTCAAAAATAATCTTTCAATCCGATTAATAAAATTACCGAAGCAAAATTACATATATTAACTATTTCAGTATTGGTTTTGAATTTATTTCAAAGGCGTTGAGTACCTTTTAAATTTAAGGTTTGCACAGAATGTATGTAATTTCAGACTTATCGAAGCGTTTTCGGACAGGATTTGATTTACCCGGAACATTGAAAAAACTGATCATTTGACCAACCAATAATCAATAAATTTAATGATTTGTCGAATAATCAAATTTTTTAATTACTAAAAATCGACTTTCGGGTAATGAATTTATCGAAAGCATTATTATCAGTTTCGACTTCTGGATGATGAATTTACCGAAAGCATTTTCTGTACATCAAAATACTCTCGGTCCAACTTTATTCAAACCTACCATATCTTAACATTTTAAAATTATATAAATATTGACTGAATTTGATTTCTGTTCTGTTAACATTTGGTCTTCGAAAGAATGAAAATATATTATAACGCATAAATTATTTTTCATTTGATAAATAATTTTTTTTTTTTTAAAAAAAAAAAAAAGTTTCCTATTGTTTGATATAAAATAAGGGATTTAGAAGCTGTGTTAGAACTTACACGTTCTACATCTTGACATTAAATATGAAGATGAAAATTATATTCTTAAAGTTTTCCTGTAAATTTGAGAACAATTGGAACTTTACAAGGATAATATATAGATTAGTTTAATAATATCACGCGAACAAAAGAAATAAATATTTATGGATTTATTTAAGTTTGTCTATGTTTATAATTAATTACTTACTGATAATAGCAGCTACTATAACAAGTGCTACAATTGTTAAAAGGAGTGTCATTCCCGTATTTTTCTTCGACATATCTCTACGAACTTTAGTAGTGACCTCCGAGAATTTAGAGCCAGCATCTTTTAAACTGTCTTTTATACGTACAAGAACCAATTTTATAAATAAGCTATTTCTCAGCTTCTTAAATAAAACATTTTCAATTACCTGACTTTAGCTTTAAAGCATCTAATTTTTCTTCTCTGTTCGCAATATCTACAAGTGTAGAACGTAAAACTTCTTGTGTATCACTTATTTGCCCTATAATTGTTTCTGTTTTTGAGCGACCAGATTCAGGCACGTCAGACCTGTGTTAATAAATTATAGGTGTGTGATGGATATAAATATAAATGAATTGTCATAAATAATAGTGTGAATGATTTACTGAACGATCTTCAATATTAATAATTAATACAATTATTGAATTTTCATGACACATACATTCTTATGTTTCAATAATTTAAAAGATTTGCAAAAAATATCTCGAAAACAAAAACTCTTTTCGTGATCAGCGTATAGTCATAAAATCGATCACTTTCTATTAGATACAAATATAAACAATGCAATATCAAACTTACTACTTTTAACAATTTTTGCTAAACCCGATCATAAAGAAAAAAAGCCTCAAGGATAAATTCGAAGCAAACAACCACGTGTGTGGCCAGATAAGCTTCAAGAATTATAACCTGATTTTTAATCAAACTTCTTCATAGCCTGAAATAAAAAAAAAAGTGGTTTTCTGTATCACTATTGTTTTGAAGACCAACCATTAGTATTAAAAATGAAAAAGAAACCAAAATACATACGAAAGTAACGCAGATAACATCGATTTCCTTGGTGACTACATAGAAAACCCGGGAATCACTTTCAAGCATTAATAAATTCTTGAACATTTAGAATATACTTCTCATTACAAATTTTTTTTTAAAATAATCATATTAAAGTTCTATTTATAGAAATTATCGTCTAATGCATCATTTACTGTTTATAGCATTGATGTGACAATTTATTTGTGGCAGTATCGGGACAATCAAATATGTAAGCTTGTTAAAAAAGCTGAGACTTGTTTTTGGACCGGGGGCATAGTTACACGGGCGTAACGTAGGCGACGAACGAATAGCTAATATTAATTTTTATTTTACGGCTTGGTCCTAATCTCTGAATCACGAGTTTGAGTTCTCTTAAGTTCGATGAAGTTGATCAGAACCTATTGATTTAATGGTGATTTATACGGAGAGGTTCTGTTTCTATTTCACACTCTTCCTTACAATGACCTGATTGGGATCTTTTAATTATCCAAAAAGATAAGTTTAATAAAGAGGAACTACCTAGAATTTAATACTTTTTAGCTTTTTAGTAGTTTTAGATCTGTTAATGTGGTAAGGTAACTGAAGATCAGAACTCTTGTGTCAGTTCTTTTATTGAGGTATTTCTTTGCATATATATTTATTTGTACATAATAAGGTGATATCGAAAATAACACAAATATCAAGGGAACTAAAATAAAAATTCTAATTATTATTTGCTGTTGCTATTCAAGAGATAAGCGTTATTTTAGAGATCTAGGGAATCTTCACAATCCCGAAAATATTTATTCCCAAATTTTTTGTAGTATAGATGACCCTTCTAATAAAATGTCTTATTAAACAATTGATTATAGAGAGGGCAACCCAGATTGCAAGTTATTACCTGTTCCTCTTTTACAACATACGTTATAGAAAGGAGTTCTATTAGCGTTAGTTGCAAATTATAAGGAAGGGAGGACCAATATTCCTATTAATTTTTACTAAAAGTTTATTGAAGTCATTGGTGCTATGCTATTGTTGGGTTCGGAAAACTGCGACTCAGTCGCTCCACAATTCAAAATCTCGTGTAACGTACGATAGGTAATCTTTACGAAAGAGGGTGTTAGATTTGGCTGGTGGGTGATTAAGGCTTTCGGTTACTTTGGGTCAGGGACCCGGAAAATTTTCGATATCATTTTGTAAAAAATTGTTTTGATAATGGCTAAATATTGTTTTTTATTTTGATATAAAATTTAATCAAAAATTTGTTAATTTCGATTAAAATACATTATATTTAGCATTTGTAATGAATCCAATTTAAGATTTTGTCGATCTTCTGCCAAAATATTATTATAATTTGAAAAGCTGCGTTCAACTGCACAAGAAGAAATTGGAAGCCAAATATATTCTTGTGCGATTTTGCTTAATTCTGGTAATTGCCCAGATAATTTTTCCCAAAATTCTGCTAAATTATTATATTCGATTGTTGCTAATTCTAAATTACAGTAAATTGACCATTCATGCATTAAAGAAGAAGATGGATTATCTAATTCATTAATAATACGATAAGAATGAAGATCACGGTTAGCAGTAGTAAGACGAACAAAAAGTGGATCAAAAATTTGTGTAGCCTGAAATAGAGATCATGTAGGATGATTTTGAATATGAACTGTATATTTGTTATAAGCAATATTAAAGGTGTTTTGAAAAATTGAACAAAAAGAATCAGGTAAATAATTATTAGTAATAATAAAATCCTGAATATCAGAAGGAAGAATAAGCGAGGTTTGATTATTTTTAATATATAAATCAAGTTGTTGAAGGTAAGATTCAATATATGGAAAAACAGGCATATTTTGGGTTTGAAAAAAATCTAATTCATTTACAAAAACTTGTCCAAAATATTTAATAAAATGAAGATAAATTTTAATAAGAAAATTATGTTGTGAATTATTAAAAATTTCATCAACTTTCTCAATAGCTGAAGAGGAGTTTTCATTTTTTTCCTCACAATAAAACCCACATATATAATTCAGATTTTCTATGACATAAAATGCCATTCAAAACCAGGAGTTCCATCTAGTTTTATTATAAAGAGAAATTTTTTGAGGAGTTTCAACACCATGATGACGCAAATACAAGAAATATCGGCTTCTTCAACTTTTGCATTTGGAAATAGATTGCTGAATTTCAGCAAGTAAATTTTTAACAATATCGAATTACACAACTGATAGCCATGCCTCTCTAAGAAAAAAAAATAAATATAAATATTTATTGATAATTACACCACTTTAATAAAATAAATTTATTAATATTTGTGTAGTACCAAGAAGAAACCAGACTTTAATTATATAAATTTTATATAATCGAAGTTTGGTTTTTCCTTAACATTACCTATTTATTTAATAAACATACCCAATTAGATTTAAAATATGCGTTATACATGTTATATGAAATATTTGAGGCATTACAGGTTTTAAAATAATTTGAAAACACTTTTTCATATATGATGCTGAATCTGAGACAAAAAGTCGAGGAATATTAAATGGAATTGACCATTCAACTAAAGTTCGAAGAATGATTTGTCTCACCATTGTATTGTTAACTTCATTAATAAAATCTACTAAAACTAATCTAGTTACATTTTTGTAATTAAACAAAACATTAACTACGCTTCTAGCACAATCATCCGTAGTTTCATCAACTATTACTGCAACTGGTTTGCCAAAAAATTCTGATTTAATGGTCGCAATATGTATTTCATATACTGGCTTTAAATATTCTCATCTTAAAACATCAGCTGAAGGAATAAAACCACCATTATGAAGATTATCCTTAAGCCATAGATGCAATTTGGCAACCTTTTCTAATGGAATGTTTGCACTTACAAACGCCTCAACTAAGTCAAAAATTGTTTGCTTTTTTTTTTCTGCAACATTAATTGCAGTATGTATTGTTGATTGCTTTGATATTATTTTACGTCATTCTTTCACAGCCTTATTGGCAATATGCTTTGCACTATTAATATGAGTTGTAATAGTTGATTTTACTTCATAATTAACAGGTATGTTACAAAATCGACACATCAAAGTTCCATGATCAGCAAAAAAATGTTCGTGAAACTCATTTGCACATGTTGAGGCAGTAATTTGACATGAAGGTGGCATTAAAAAAAAAATTGATACTAAAATATTATTAGCTTATAATTTGTAATAGAGCCATTATAAAATTAAAGTTTCAAAAAACTTACCCAAATATCGTAAAAAAAAAAAAAAAAAAAAAAAAAAACTTTACTAATGTTTGTCAGTTTATTATGAAAGTACAACAATTTACTAGTGTTTGCTAGTTTATTATAAAAGCACAATGATCTATTTTTTAAAATAGCTGAATGTGCTTGAAATGAACGTACTGAAAACAGTGCTTGGAATACTAAAAATTTGTCTTTGATAGATTGCTTATCGTTATCTCTATTGATTTTACATGTTGTTACACAAATAAATAGAAAATATGATTGGTAGAATAAAATAACTAACCAATCATATTTGTAGTATAGTAGTGTAACATCACATGCATAAAAAAACCGAAAAATTGTTTTATAATATGATATTCGGTAAAAATTGTGATTTATTGTTTTCTAATCTTTTTAAAATTTTTCCGGGTCCTTGCTTTGGGTCAACGAATACAAGGTAAGTCACGTGAACAAGAACTTGAACGAACGACGATGTTTATAGGGGTTTACAG